AACATTTAAATTCCTCAGTAATAGCCTAGTAATTATGGGGGTTATTACTGAGAGCTCCCATTATAGATTTTGTTTTGTTACATGCCGTCTAGTCAGAACTGACTTATAGTGACCCTAATAGGAGTTTCAAGGTAAATGAGCTATTAGGGAGCATTTTTACCAGTTCCACCCCCCCAAATGAGTTTCCATAGCAGTGCCAAGGAATTGAATCCAGGTTCCCTGAGTCCAAGTCCATTACTCTATTTTACTGCACTGACTGTCCTATATGCAGTGCTGTGTGTGTATTTATATGTCTATAGCTACAAATAGAGATATTTTCCCCTGTGGTGGCCAGAAGTGGGTGCAGAAAGGAGATGGGTCGTCGTCGTCTTCTTCTTCTTCTTCTTCTTCTTCTTCTTCTTCTTCTTCTTCTTCCGACTTGCACCTGCTCTGCTATTATGGCCCCGAGCCAGGTGCTGGAGAGAGGGGCAAAAGTCCTCCTGTCCTTCCTGCAACCCATGCAACTTCAAGCCAGATAAGCATGTTTGGAACAGAAGAAAACACATGCAGGTAAGTCAGAGAAATGAAGGAGGGAAAGAGTTTGGAGGTTCAGGGAAAGGCGAGAGGGATGATACTCTCAGTATAATTATCAGTTAGCTGTACTTGGCTTAAAATAAAGCTGTTTTCCACATTTGGGGGAAAGCAACTTGGTTGCCTAAACCTGACCAGGTGAGCTCGCCACATATCAATTGCAAATGCGTTTGTCACATTCACATTTTACATTTTCAAATTATTTAGACAATTACTATCCGTTATTAGAATAGGGGCTTGGTTCCCACCTGTGCCCTAAAAAGAGAGAGAAACTGAACAGATGCTTCATGGCCTGCAATAACTAGAAGACAGTCATCTTAATCTTTCTGTTTTGTGTTTTTATGATGCAATTGTGAATTATGTTGTTTGTGTTAACAATTATAGAGCTGAACAGATGGCTGAAGATTTATTTCAAGACAACGTAGCTATTAAAAAAGCCTTGTCTGGGCTCCTAAGTAATTGTTAACTAGAATCCTGATTCATTCAAATAGGGGATCATTAAACTTCCTCTGTACATGAAATCATTTGGAAGAGAAAGAGGCCAAGGAGACAGGTATTGTGCAAAACAGTTAGTCATGCTATTTTAGGAAAGCCAGCATGGACACGTGCAGCAGATTTCCACATTTGTGCCTTAAGAGAAGGTAAATGAAGATCACTGAGCTAGCGTAAACTCTGCCACTACTTTTTATAAATAATACGGTGTTTTTCTCTTTTCCATCTTCCATCTCAAAGAGGCTTAAAGTTAATATCTAATAAAACCTTTAATAACCATGAAACAATTCCGAAACAAGAGGGCTTTGGGGTTTTTTTGTTTGTTTTTTGCAAGCAGCTCAACACAAACGGACAGTTGTTTCCAACAGCAGTAGAACAAAAATGGAACCGCAACCAGAAGGATCTAAATGAAAAAGAATCTAGATTAATGAGCATATCAAAGAGCATGTAAAGGTCAAAGTATGACACTTGAACAATGGCATCAGAGCATTCTTCTACTTCGGTGTTGTGTGATGATGACATGGCTTCCTTTGGGTTTCTGTAAAACTTCACAACAACTTGAGTCTGTGGTGGTTCATCATAGCTGATATTTATCCCTGAAAGGGATAATTCCAGTGTGACATTGGTGTTCAACTGGGTATCAAAGTAAAAGTCTTTTCATTGTTGGAATGAGTCCAGGCAACGTCACCTTGTTTATTTCTGCAGGCTTTATTCATCTGTGTTACTGCCGTGCACAAAACATGGCCTGGCCTGCCTCTCAGGATAGATCATCCACCAAGGTGACGCCAATGCTATTTTCTTCTGAAACCAGAAGTGAAAAGGATCTAGATAACCTTTTACGTAGGCTTAATGAAATACATCCTGTTTCTGAAAGATAGATGAGAGCTCCTGATACATCTGAGTCAGTGCTGATAGTTGGCAGACTTTTAACTAGCCTGAACAGCTTTTTAACACCTGGGCTGGGTGCCAGAGTTTTGAGCTATTCAAGGCCAGTCCTACTTCCTTTGTCTAATCAGCTGATGTAAGTAGTGTGTAGTTTTGGACACGTATACTGTGGGGTGGTGTACAGAGGGATGAGCATTGTGTAGCATTTCCATTGCAGTCATTGCAGTGATCTATAAGGCAACCAAAGGGGTGAAATTCAAATAAGGAAATAATAGAGACTCTGAAAAGGATAGGTACGGGTATCAGGTTGATGGTAACGGAGACAAAAGAATGCCCAGGGCTAATGGCACAATCTTTCCTTAGTAATTTTTTACAAAACAAGGAAATGATGAAGGAGTAAGAAGAACAAAATTCTCAACCACGTGTTCCACCATGGATCTGGTCCTTTCAGGTAGTGTGAAGCTTTACAACATAGGAAAGTGCCAAGATTATGCTTGCACTAAGGAAAACAAAGATTTTAATAATCTATGCATCTTACTAGGCCCAGCCACTAATAAAAGACTAGAAGTACTTCATTTGGCAAACCTGTTGCTTAACATGGCGAACAAATAAAACAAATTCACGGGAAGATTTCTTTGAATAAATTTATTGAATATCATCAAGTTGTTTCACAATATTAATAGGTAGAATCTTTGTAGCACTTTGAAGCATATTAAATCATCACTATGGCTGTTCATTTTAAAAATGTTTGCAGGCGCAGTAGGAAATACTCTTAAGGGTTGCAGACTAGATGTTGTGGGAAAGTTAGGAATTCATCTGGAAATTAAGAACCTTCTTACCAGAAATCATCTTTACTACAGTTCATAAATCTAGGCCATTTTCCAGCCGTAGCACTCTTTCTAGCTAGTAATGCATCAATATAGTAAAGATACTGTTTTCGACAGCATTCGTCTGCGGTAAAGGTAAAGGTTCCCTTTGACATTTTTAGTCTAGCCGTGTCTGACTCTAGGGGGCGGTGCTCATCCTGTTTCCAAGCTGTAGAGCCAGCACTTGTCTGAAGATAGTTTCCATTGTCACGTGACCAGCGTGACTAGGGAGCGCCGTTTTACCTTCCCACCAAGGTGGTACCTATTTATCTACTCGCATTTGCATGCTTTCGAACTGCTAGGCTGGCGAGGAGCTGGGACAAAGCGACGGGAGCTCACTCCGTTGCGTGGATTCGATCTTATGACTGCTGGTCTTCTGACCTTGCAGCACACAGGCTTCTGCAGTTTAGCCCACTGCGCCACCACGTAGTCTTCCAAAATTAAAAAGAATGCCACCTGTTCACCACGTACTCTTCCAAAATTAAAAAGAATGCCACCTGTGGAGGATGTCCACAGAACACAGTGGGAGAATGTTTTTCTAAGAGCACCTGTGTAGGTGCTCTTGTCTCTACTAGATGGGTGGTGGCCAAAACTGGACTTTACGTGGTTGGTGGATACAAGTCTCCTAGTAGCACATACTACATGAAGACATACAAGTCTTGGGAGCTACCTTAGACTGAATCAGATCTGGACCCATCACAGCTCTGCAACTGACAATGCTGACTGGCAGTGCCTTTGAGGTAGACCTTCCTCTCAGCCCAACTGGATAATTCCAGGAATGCAACCTGACACCTCCTGCATACCAAGCACATGCTCTGCCATGGAGCTACAGCCCTTTGCAGAAGTACATTCCATGGTGATTACTGGTCAGAATCTTCCCATGCCTCTATGCCAGTGTAAACCAAACAGTGGGATAGAAGCCTCCATTTCTTAATTAGTGGCAATTTGCCTCTGCAGTTTGTTCCGGTGGTTTTGTGCTGGAGTATGTGTCTGGCAATCAAGTGTTTTGTTAAAAAAATGTTTCGCCATTAGTGTCTGGCTAGAGGGATCTGTTGTTCTCCTTTCTGACAGCACGGAGTTCACAAAATGTGAAGCCTGATTTTCTTTTCTTAAATATATAAAGCAATGGCCAGAAAATGTGAGAATTCTTTGTCTCAGAGCCATATTCACATCATCCAGATTTAAACACACACACACACAAACCTGTGGGCTGCTTACTAATCTTGAAGACATGGAATAATTTTCTTGCTTTAGTAAAGTGCAATCGTTTAATTCTGTTGTCACATATTGAGGTTTCCTCTTACATCTACAATAAAGATAGGATTTGTCCCATATCAGTAACACAGAGAGAGATCATGTTGGAAGAACTATTCAGTTCTAATTTTAATAGCAAACTAGTTCATTGTTTTCTTACTGTTTTTTAAATTTTGCTTTCAGACTGTAATTGCAAAATGGTTGTTTCTTATTCCTATAATTTTATTAACTTGCATCTATATAAAACTCCAAGTTAATTCATCATAATGAAGTAAGACAAGCATAACAGAAGTAATTCCAGGGTAGGCACTTAGGAACCTACGCAATGTTTGTGTTGATTCCGTCTCTGCCGTCTCCAAGTTTTCATGCTACTAGACTTGCTCTGCTTTCCACCTCAAAGGATGCTTTTCTGGAAGGCTTCCCTTTTGTGCACTACAGCAGAGACTGCATGACTTCTGGAGATAATAACCAGAGAGAAGCTGGAGGGAGGGGAAGGGGATTCTTTTGCAGGCAAACTCACAACTCTGGGGTCAGAGCAGGCAAGGATGGAGAGTGGGACCTTCTCTGTAGGTCTGGGTGTGGTCATCTTCAAGTTACTGTATTTTTAAAAAGTTGTTCTTTCTATTCCCTGTTCATAAAATCCTTGAGAAATTTGTATTTGGTTTAGTTTTAACAACTATTGGATAGCTTGAAATGCTTGGTTGTCCTTTAGGACTGAAAGTCTTGGTTTGGACAACACAGTATTTCAGCAAATGTGTGCATGGGGGAACAGCTTTTGAGCTTGCGTTTGCCATTTCAACTGTTTCACAAGTGAATATATTGAGGAATTTTGCTGGGAAAACCCCTGCTTATCACTTTAGAAGGAAACCACCCTCCTCCAACGTCTTTCTGTTCTAATGTGCCTTTCTCTCACCCCTCTGTTGCTTTCCATAGGTATACAGTGTTACACAATGGGCATCACCTGGAACATGACAAGCTTCCAATCCACAATGACCCAGAATCCCAAGAGTCCTGCTTTTGACAAAGGTCCAAGAATGGGATCTACAAGGCAGGATGGTCCAAAGATGTTCATACGTCAGGGATTGAATGCCAGATCAATACCATCTATATTGCCATAACACTGCAGTATCAATTTGACATCTGCGCCAACAGCCAGCGTGGCCCTCCTGACAGAACAAGTGGGCATAGTTTGTGGAGGAGAAGGGATATCTTTTTGTTGATGCGAAGCCACACACGGATTGTCCTCCTGCTTCAAAATGCGAGGAGCAAACTGTAAGCAGCATGTTTGCTTACTGCTTCTTCTGTTTGTGCCAACTAATGTGTTTGTACACAAGCACACATCATTTTCTTATGTGGCAACAATCTATTCCAGAAGTGCTAACGTAAATCAGAACATAGTTTTGCTTAACCAAAATCTGGAGATTTATATTTCTCAGCTATTTTTAATCGTGAGTCGTCTCTCAAGAAACCCTCCCCACCTGTCGTGAAACAACAAAAGGAAGCAGTCCCTCTGTAGATTATGACTCACCCCAAGTATATCTCCTTGGCCAGCTATGCCCAAGGAGCATGAATAGCCCAAGGAGAGATGATGTTGGACTATTCTGTGAAGAGACACTGTTCAAGGCCCTGCTCTCACCAAATGGATCTATTCAGAAGAAGGTGGCCACTGGACTACAGGCGCTTTCCACCAAGACGACATTGCATTCAGTCCCTGCACGTATTCCTGCCGAAGCACTTACCTCGATAAATGCTGGACAACATTGCTTTGAAGGAAAAATGGGTTGAGAGACAGAACAGTTAAGAAAATAACAGTGCTCCTCTAATAGCTCACTAAGTGCCATCTTGATGTGTATGTATAATTGTGTGCATTTGAACAGCCATTATCACTGAAGGATGTGCTGCAAGGGAAACTTACTTGGGTTAAGCAATTCAGTTGCTGTCCATCCTATTTTTGCCACTTGCTGAGGCAAATGTTTCAGGGCCTGGGTGTGAATGAACCTGCTTGGTGTCTTTGGGTTTATCAGGGTTCAATGGTAGTTGGTTTCCTATGTGCTGACAAGATTAGGACGTCTGCTGAGGAGGGAGCAAGCTATCTGTCAAAAAGAAGGGGTTAAGAGATAGATAGCAAACGCTGGCAGTCAATTGGCAGTCGCAACAACACTGCTGGTGTGAGAAAGGAAAGCAAGCAAAAGTTCAGTCCTGAAGGGGGTCTTCTCAGTTGACAGAGAAGACCCCTTTCAGGTCCCAGAACTTAAGCTGAAGTGCATTGGCTTCGTGGGTCACCTGGTTAGGTATTGAGTCAGCTGGTAGAGCAGCCTTCAAATACTGTCTGTCTCTGTGGCACCCTTGGGAAACTGGCCTTCTGGCACAGGAGATATGATGATGGAAGCTTGCTGCTGGGATTCTGCTCTGGAGACCCTGACAGGGCTCATCTTACCAAATGCTTTCTCAGCACCTATAGATAGTCCCTCTGTTCAGCTGTCCCTTTCATATAATGCCAGTGCCAACTCTCCTTATAAGCTGTGTCCTGCATGCAGATGTTGCAGCCTCCCTCTTGAGCACTCTACCCCTTCTTTTTGCATGTTATGTTGAAAGGCATGGCTGAGGGTCCAGCAACAACAGGAGCCTGGTTTTTAGGCCGCTGGCAACATACTGATCCCACTATGGACCTGTACTCCCCTTGGTGGAAGATCTAACCCAAAGATGGCAACCTTGCTCTGTAAAGCAGACATTTTGTTACATTGTGTAATTATGTACAGTTTTTTTTTAATGTATGGAAGAAAAGCAAACTTTATTTATTGATATTTTTAAAGGGATTATGGATTTCCCATTAGAGGCTTTTAACTATAGGAGCTAAGACATTATCATTTGGTTTTTCAGTTTTGGTTTTATTTGGTTCCCTTTTCATAGTACAACTACTGTATAGCTTGTACAAAGAAGATACTATTGTTTGCTTGTTTAACAGGAGATTAAAGGCGATTCAAAGACCATTTTACTGGCCTAGACTTGTTCGGAAATCTGGGGAGTTGCAACATGTGATTGGAGGTTAAATGGGCAATGGCAAAAGTTCCTCGGTGGGTTCTCACGACAGATACATGCACGGCTCTTGGGGCCTTTTGAAAATGTCCCCTTTGCATCCTCATTGTTCCTTTATCCAACGACACCAAGCTGCTTTGTACATGTGGTGAGGCTGAGTTCTGCTCACTTACAGATCTCAGGTGACACCCCGAAGAGTCTTCTCACCAGAGTATCAAATCCTCATACCATTTTTGAACTCCTTTTCATGCAAGAAAAAAAAATAACTAAATGCCTCAGCATCTTAAAAGCTAGCACGTTTTATTGGGCATAATTTTTCAAAGACCTGACTGCAGCTTCCTTCTTCAGATGTGGACTGAAGTCCAAAAAGACTCACTGCAAATAAAACTTGCTAGTTTCAAAGGTGTGACAAGGCACTTTCTGTTTTGCTGCAGCAGGCCACAGACTTACATGGGTACCCCTGCAAACATCATTATTAGATGTCCTCTAATATACCATTTTTTTTGGGGGGGGGCATTTAATCACAGGCAATTCCCACATAGCTTGAAGAACACTTTATTTATTTTATTAAATTTATATCCCACCCCTCTAGACCATGTCTGCACTTAAAGAGCTCAGCAACATTGGTGGACAGGGGAGGTGATCACTGTGCTCTTTATACCTTGGAATCTTCACCCTTCCAGGAACAGACACGGTTTCCCTGGAAGACCTTCTTGCTCAACTCTCCAAAGGCAAAGGGGTGCTTCTGCAGCTGGAAGAATGTCTAACCTCTAGAATTTGCCCAAATGCATATGCATTGGTTTCAGACTTTCCCATGTATTTAATTTTGAATTCATTTACACAGTGCTCTGAAATCCAGACTTGATTGTTTTAAAAATTCAGGTATACATAGGACTTTGGGTGCTTGACAGTTCTTATGTAATCCTGGCTGCATTCAGTTGTTATTGTGAACAAGTGCAGATTTCATTATCTGACATGTTGGAGAACATGATTTCCTACTGAATAAACCAGTGTTTTCTTGATGGACTGTGGGCCATCTTTCAAAATCATTGGTAATTGAAGCCATTCTGCCTATGGCCTTTGAAGCTATTGACCAAGTCTTTTCATGATCCTCAGCCAACATATAAATGGAAGAGTAACGTACCCTGAAGAAAGCTCCAGGTTTGACTTCTGTTCCAGTTCACTGAAGCCTTTGTGTTGATTTCAGTGGGAGTTACCCACAACTTTTGCTAGATTCCACGCCAGTTCTTTCCTAAGTATATTCTGAAACATCAGCTCATGTTGTTTCAGGGAAGGGATGGCCTATGAGCTGCTTACTTAAGATAACATCCGGAAGCAGTGACCTCTTACAACCACCACTAGCTGTCTGCATTTTAAAAACACAATAAAGGAAATCTAATAAACTCATTTAAATCAGAAAATGGAAAGCAGTGATGAGGAGCTCAGAGGAGAGGTTATACATTTCAATCAGATGCAAAGCAGTAACTGGATGATGTACACTACTTGAATGCCAGGACTTCAGGCAGAGGTGGTGTGGCTTACTTGGAGAGGTTCAGCTAAGTGATTGCAGCCCCTCCCATGTCCATAGGCATCCTTCAGTCTCAAGGGACTATGATGACATGCTCTGAATCGAGGAATGTCCTCTCCAGAGCATGAAGCCCGGGTAAGGTAATATGGAGGATAGGCTGTTACCCAAGCAGCAGATCCCCCCTCTCCACATTGCTGAAGTGGTCCAATGGAAAGGCAGGAGCCAATACAACTGGTTCCAGCAATGTCGCAGGAGTTGGCAGAATGACACGAGCTGCCTTCGGGACTCCAGCTCCGGATTTTGCCTCCCTCCCATGTACTGTACTTGGAAAGTTTCTCCTCTTCATTAATAACATTGACTCTTTGTTTGATTCAGTGTATATTGGGTGATCCCTATTTGTTGGTTGCTTGATCTCTATTTGTTGGTTGCTCTCATATCCTTTCATATTTCCGTATCTCTAATGTCCTACATTATTTAATTTATATTAAAAGGGGGGAAACAGATATCAGTGGAGAATATTGGAGAGCTGTCATATGAAGGGTCTTTTTTTGAAAAAACAAAAATGGCTGCAAAACCTAAGGCGGGGAAAGGAAGTCCGGTACCAGAAACTACACCACTGAAACTGATGCAAGAAACCCAGCCTTCTTTATGAACAAAATTATATTTTGAGAAGCTCATGAGCACTATGCTTAGCCAAGAGACAGCCCATTTTGATTGATAGAAAGTTTGATGAAATTAAGTGTGTTATTTCAGCCCTGCAAATGAAAGTTTCCAACCTCTCCAAACAACAAGAGGACAAGAATTTACAATTGGGGCAAATGAAAGAGGATATGACACAGCAAAATCAAGAAATACAGAGGACAGTGAGATTAGCAAAGAAAATGGAGAAAAAAAGTAATAGAACTTCAGAAAAGGAAAAGTTGAAACCAGACGAAACCAACATGAAACACCAGTGACTCAAATCCAGATGGAGAATGCATCACATATTTTGAGAATACAGAATGTACCAGAAACTCACAATGAAGATCTCTTAGAAGTTACAACTGATTTGCTTTTAAACTGGGCAAATTGTGATAAGGATGAAATTAAGTGGAATATGTGGCCAAAAGAACATCCTCAGTATTTATTTTTTTAAAAATCATCTCCCAAGAGAGGTACAAATTAGATTCATTAAAACCACACATAGAGACAAAATTCTGAAAGCAACACAAGATAAGCAATATATAAGAGAAGGAAGGAATCTGAAGACATTGAAACATATCCCTTGGGAAATAAGAAATAAAAGGAAAATTTATGAGAATAGATAAAGACTATCAGCTACATAATCAATAATTAGAATAACAGTATATTTGTCTGAATTTGGTTTTTCCCTCTCGCTCAGTTTATATTTCTTTCTGATATGTCCAACTATTACTAGGAGAATGTATAGAATTACTATGAAAAATATTGATCTGTAATGTATCCATTCAAATTCACCTCCTCTGAGGGTACCCCTATCCCAGCTGCCCCTTACCTTACCCTACCTTTATAAAGAAAATTTAAAAAATAAATTAAAAAGATGTGGAACGACAAGGCATGTACACTTGACTTTAACCTTAGTGCTAACTCTGAATATGTTGGAATTCTTGTGGGGTCAGAAAATGCCCTAGAACACAGTGCAATTTTTAAAAATCCATGGAGAAGAGTTTTGTCTCTTTACTTATCTAGCTGATTTTCTCTTTCAGTGACCACTGTGTACTGTAAAATATTACATTCTCACTTTCCTTTGTATTGATGTTGCTCACGTATGATACCAACTAGCCAGGTCTAATATATAGCTGGGGGGTCCTTCATGTTTAAAAAGGTAAAGGTTCCCCTTGACACTTTGTTCAGCCATGTCCGACTCTAGGGTTCGATGCTCATCCCCGTTTCCAAGTCGTAGAGCCAGCATTTGTCCGAAGACAGTTTCCGTGGTCACGTGGCCAGCACGACTAGACATGGAATGCCGTTACCTTCCCACTGAGGTGGTATCTATTTATCTACTTGCATTTACATGCTTTTGAACTGCTAGGTTGGCAGGAGCTGGAACAAGTGATGGGAGCTCACTCCATCGCGTGGATTCGATCTTACGACTGCTGGTCTTCTGACCTTGCAGCACAGAGGCTTCTGCGGTTTAACCCACAGTGCCACCCTTCAAGTTTACTCAGCCTTAAAATGGAACATTGCAGTAATACTATTCTGTCAATTGTACAGTATAGACCACATTGCTGAATCAGAGAAAGTCCGATTTTATTAAACCTTGACAATGTGTTGTGTAAGCTCTTATTTACTGAATATTCTGCATAATCACAATTTTAAAGCACATATACCTGTCTCCAGCCCGGGTCCAAACAGTAGCAATAGCAATGAGATACAGGGTGAGCCTGTATAGAGGGAAGACTAATAGTAATAACATGTGCACGAGATTCATAAGTACCATATAAACTGTCTGCCCTATAAACACCAATGCAACTGACCAAGAAGTCAGATCTGGCAAAAAATCTGCACATCTCCACTTCAAATGAAATCAATTCTGACCAAAATACAAATATGTTGGCATAAGTGATGGGGGAATGATTTGTTCTAAGAAATAAGTGCAGTACACTTGTGCATGTCCCCCTGAAACGGAACTATCCCCCCCCCAAAAAAAAAAACAAAAAAAAGGTGGTACACTTGTGCATGTCCCCGTGAAACGGAACTATCCAAAAAAAAAAGGTGTCTTGGCATGGGTTTCAGCACATCTGCAGCTAACCTTGAATGTAATTACAGTACAGAAAGCAAAAGATCAAAGAAGGTTAGGGACTCAGCAAGTGCTTGAATAGTGCTGTCCCTTAGGAATACTTGGCAGCAATGTAATCTATCAACCTGACTTACCATTTAGATTGGGGCTTTACTTTGTTCACCAGTCAGTTCCTTCTTTGATCCTTCCTGGTACGATTTGAAAAGATCACACATTATCTTGAGCAGAATTGACTGTGTTACGGTTCTCAGCTGTAGACCAGAACAGTTCGAGGAAGGCTGAATGGCTGGAAGACCTAAACGGTGCATCTGCATTGTTGCTCAGCTTGCTCTCCAGGCACAGAGAGGGATCGCGGGGGTGAGAGGCGCAAATGTACCTCTACAAAGAAAGGAAGGAAGTGATTGGGGCAGAACATTTTGGGTTGACTCACCATGGACAGAAGGCATCTCTGCCGGATTCTCTCTAATACCACAGCTCATTCCGTATAAGACAGTGCCCCAGCCCTCTGTGGAGGGCCTGCTTTGCGAAAAGAGGTGGTAACATCTGTTTCCAGCCTGCTAGTACAAAATAGCAGAAAGTATACACTAAATGAATTCTAAGATATTTTTGTACCCCTTTTTCTTAGGGAGGATAACTTGCAAGAATTACTCAGGAGGCAAAGAGGAGACAGAAAGAAGAGCCCACCAACACAAAGCTGCTGCTGACGTTTGCCATTTTTGCTTTTAGAGGGCACATGTCTGTGTTTCAGTCGTTCTTCAAGACCAGAACGCAGCTTCCTTTTCAAACACTGCTTTGTCTCTGTTAAGAGTGCAGGGGTTGTCCGTAACATTC